ATGAAATATTATACAGATAAAAATTATAGGCTAGAAACTTGAAAAATTATAAATAAATGTAGTTGATTGGTCTTGCTGCTGTACCAAAATGTCACAAGTTTTTAGTTTTCATACCACTAGATTTTAAAAGGCTACGATTCTCTTTATACAAATAATAATATATAAACTGTCAAATATAGGAAATGAAATTACTGGAGTATTATCATCATACACTATTTACCACTAATTAAAATTAAATAATTTTTGTTAATATTTATTACGTCAATTAACAAATGCGAACTCATTTAAATATCAACTATTTTAATGCATAACCTATAAGATTAAATATTTGTACCCTCGAAGCGAACTCGTTAAGTCCAAAATTGGCATATTTGAGATATACAGGGTGGTCCGAACTGTATTCCGGAAACTTCGGCAGCTTATTCTGCAGATAAAAATAAGTAAAAAAGTTCGTATACAGGGTGTAGAAGTTACATTTTTATTTCGATTTTTTCGAAATAATTTCTGCAGCAACGTCAATATTTTGATGAAAATTGGTGTCTGGGAGTTTTTTGACATGAGCAATTTGATTTTGATGTCAGTATGACTCCTACTAGTAGAGGGCGCCACCTACATATATTTTAACTGGTTTGAAGAGTAATAACTTTTCGTCCGTAACGGTATAAAACTACTGAGTAAAAAAATATACATTTACGACCTTTTTTAGGTAAAAAATGTCTCTTGGTAAAAATCGCTATGAGTATTAGTTATAGAGATATTTGGAATCGAAATGATCAATACCTGTCATCATTGACATAAATTAAACATGTTGACTAACTAGTTATTAGACTGAGATCACAAATTTGAAATGATTTTGTGTCAAAAGTTCAACAGAAACTGTTTTATTATCATTTTTTGCAGAAAAATTAATGATTAATTTAAAAAAAATAAAAATTTTCCAAATTTATTATATCAGTGAAATAACTATCTACTCAACGTGTTTATTTTTCGTCAATAATGACATGTATTGACTATTTCCATTTTAAATATCTTAAGAACGGTTGCTCTAGCGATTTTTACAAGATTTTTTACGTAAAAAGTCACAGAGATGTATATTTTTCCCTCGGTAGTTTTATACAGGAACAGACAAAAAGTTATTATGCTTCAAAACAGTTAAAACAGATGTAGATGGCGCCCTCTACCAGTAGGAGTCATATTGACATCAAAATAAAATTTCTCATGTCCAAAAACTCTTAGACACCAATTGTCATCAACATATTGACGTTACTTCAGAACTTCAAAAAATCGAAATAAAAATGAAATTTCTACACCCTGTATCTCTGAAACTAAGCATTTTAGGACATACATTTATACGAACTTTTTTACTTATTTTTATCTGCAGAATATGCTGGCGAAGTTTCCGGAATACAGTTCGGACCATCCTGTATACGTCAAGTTACTTAACTTTTTAACTTCTACTCATCTGAAGTTATTTATATTACAATCTATTTCCTAATATGAAACACAAATAGAGAAATACAAAATTGGTTCATAGTAGTTGATCTTGTTAAAGCTACTCAAGTTTAAGAACTGAAATAGCTATCGCTCATTATGCCATAAATTACTTGTGTCTAGCCCTAGCAGGCAACTATTAAGCCCGACCAATCACGTTAGAGTTTTTGACAAACACAAATGAATTAACACCCTTCAAATAACCACGCTAACCAACCTGATTGGTCAAGCTTAAAAGTTGACTGCTAGGGCTAGACACTTCTCCATAAATTCAATGCGAGTAAATAACATTGCGTTATTGACACCCACCAAATAGAAAATTAAATTAAGTAAATAGCCGAAGACGATATACTGAACATTGTATCGATTAAGTAATGCTAAGTGTAGGATTCTATTAGTTAGCTCATCAAAATGAACACATTTAGTTATTAAATATGATAACCTAGTATTCTTTGTTTTTTATATTTCTTGGATATTGCGGGGGCGTTTGACAATATACCACATAAGGTGGTCAGGCGATCTCTAGAAACAAGAGGGGTGAACAGAACTATTATTCGCTGGTTTTGGGAAATGCTGTCAACACGAACAGCAGAGGCTCAGATGGGCATGAAAACTGTAGCTGTTAAAACAACGCAAGGAACTCCACAAGGTGGAGTAACCTCCCCTTTGCTGTGGAGCTTGGTGGTGGATGAACTACTAGATGAATTAACTCTAGCGGGAATACACTGCATTGGGTATGCAGATGACATAGTCATGATCGCTCGGGGGAAACATGAAGGCACCTTGTGTGATATTATCCAAAGAGGACTCCGTATCACTGAGAGATGGTGTAGGACTGTCGGGCTGAGTATCAACTCAGACAAAACCGCGATAGTGCCATTCACCAGAAGGCGAAGTCTGAAAAACTTGAAAAGAATCCAACTAGATGGAAAGGAAATACTGCCAACACAGGAAGCTAAATACCTGGGAATAACCCTGGACAGTAAACTCCTGTGGAACAGGCATATTAAAGAACACTACCAGCAAAGCCATAAAGGCTCTCATGATATGCAGAAGACTGGCCCGGAAATAGATGGGGCTGCTCCCCTAACATTTTGCGCTGGATGTATACCATGATAGTAAGACCCATGATTACTTATGGAGCAGTTGCCTGGTACACAAAACTAGAGCAACGGACAGCAAGGCTAAACCTATGCAAAGTCCAGAGACTAGCATGTGTTTGCATCACGCAGAGCCATGAGAACCTGTCCAACAGCAGCAATGGAGGTCATTCTAGATCTAACACCACTGCACATTGCCATTGGTAGATATGCCAATGCGACAATGATTAGAATGGTCACTAACGGAATTAGTACTGGGAGAATTGTCAGATCAGGGGCTTGGAACACCCTCAAAAGGAAATACCACTCCTGCAACTCCCAGTGGACGATATGCCAGAACATTACAACTTTGACAAACATGTCAATGTAGTATTGAGCAATAAGAAGGATTGGAAGAGTGGAACGCTTGCCCAGCAGTTAAAAGACCATACCATAACTTGGTATACTGATGCTTCCAAAACCAATGCGGGAACAGGGATCAGGTGTTTGGGCCGAGCTAATTACTCCGAACCAATGGGCACTTACCTAGTATCCTACAGGCAGAAATCTACGCTATCGAGAGATGCGTACAACTTATCTTAGATAGGAACTATCGGAAACAAGAAATAGTCATCTTATTTGATAGTCAAGCAGCGTTAAAGGCGATCAACTCAGTATCAATCAATTCGAAATTGGTCAAAGAATGCATAGAAAGCTGAATAAATTAGGCAAAAAAACAAAGTCCTCTACACTGGGTGCCTGCTCACCAAGGGATAGAAGGCAATGAAAAAAGCAAATAATCTAGCTAGGAAAGGGCGAAACACTCCACTAACTGGACCAGAACCGTTCTGCTTTCCAAGTGGTAACCAACTCAAGGCGGAACTCAAGAACTTGGAAGATTCCATCCGCAACCTGGAATGGAAATCTTGCAATGGTCTAAGGCACTCGAAGAAGTTTCTGAGGGCTTATGATCAAGAAAAATCACAGATCTTCCTGGGTCTGAGTAAGAACAATCTTCGGATTGTCACGGGGTTTTAACAGGACACTGTCTCCTCAATGAACACCTCAGTAGATTGAAACTAAGAAGAAACGGCGAATGCAGATTCTGTGGGGAAGATGGGGAAACACCAGTACACCTCATCACTGGAGTGCGCCAGAGACGACAACCATTCGTGCCATGAATTTTGGTACGACTGATGTGGAGATGGA